AGTAGCAAACAAAATGACAGCTGCTGAGATTTGTAGAAAAACAGTTATACAAAATGTACTTATGTACAGAGCTCTGTTAAGATACTTTGGCATCCAAAGCTCATCTCTCCTGGCCATTTTCCTTATGCTTTTTCCACCTACAGCCACTGCCTCTTTCTTCACCAAGTCAGTTTTCAGCCTCCCTTCCCAGACAACAGCCCCAGCAGCATCAAAGGCGATTCTTAGGTATCACTGCACCCTCTGGCTACCGTTTTTATGGCTGTAACTATGGACCTCGCTCAGTCATTCCAAATAACCAAAAGGAAAATTTCTTTTCAGAGGCACGATCCAATTTGCAGAGAATTAACAACAACAACAACAAAAAAGTGTCTGGGATTGTGTTCTAAATACATTTCTAACTAAAAACTGTTATTGCAACATAATATGCAGCCTACTCATTGCTGTTTCCCAATAGGTACAGGAAATTTTAGAAAAAGGGTCTCATTTCTTTATGAGTACACAGATGGCATAATGAACCCTGGGAACAGAGGAATTTTGGTTCCCAATTTGAGCCTTCAGTTGGTGGTCAGCATATGATCCACAGTGTTTTGTCAGAGAAAGCAATCTGGCCAATGAACACAACTATTTCACAAATATTATATTACTAATATGAAAGAAATGTTCCTTCAGAATGAATTAATATTAATTACTCACTTATAGTTATACTGTTTTCAGTCTTCAAAGACAAAAGGACAGAACTGGCAAATTATAAGTCCTGTGGGGATACTGAACCATACCTGTGATTGGTGCTTTTTCTTAGTTTCATTTACACTCTGCGGGGAAAAACATAAACTGTGTACATATACTGAATAACACCCTGATTTTAGATCAGCTATTAATATATTTAGTGTTCAGGAATAGTCAATCTTTTAATTCCATTTTCAAAAAGCTAAAGATCACCGTATCTTTAGTGAGGAAAATAGACATGCAAACTAGACTATCTTTGATGGTAATCACACCTCTTTTCTTTTGTTTTCTTTCTGGTCAACCCATCCGTTTTGATGAAAGTATTTTGAGGGAGTTCTTGATGGAGGTGAAATCAGTGAATCATTGCAGCATAGCAATGGCTTGAGATGTACAGGACCTATAGACGGGACTTTGCCTCAAATCTACAGTACAAATTTAAGGGTAAACTATGCAGAAGATGTCCCATTTGTCATAATGTGGTACCCAACCATTAACAGAGGCCCTGTCCTTTTGTCTGAAACAATGTCTTCCCGTGTGAACTCCATAAACCTTCATTGCTACCTGTATGTGATGACGTGAAACGTTGATAAAGGTACCTGTCTTGTTAATTTTGTAATCCATTTTAATCTGTTTAAATCTGGATTAAAATACAGCGTTAAAATTTTACTTTCTGCAACTTCAAAGGAACAGTAACATCAGTTCAAGGAGCAATCAGTTGCTACCAGATCAGCTTTTAAAACCAAGCTGTTTGTAGTCCAAAACAATTCAATAACACTTTCCTTCACACAAAAAAATACCAAAACCCAAACAATAAAAAATACAGTATTCAAATATCCAAAGCCAAGGCTTCAATTAAGCCTTCAAACCATTACCCCAACCTACAGGCAAAAGGCTACAGAGGTCTTTTCTGCCCTTATGCATATGACTCCTCCAGAGAAATATATTATTAAATATATGGACAGAAAACAGGACAGTCACAGGGCCACAAAAACTGGCACCTTTCTAATACTTTATAGCTAAGTATTTTATAGAACAACGCTAATACAAAAATAAACTAATTGAAATTATTTCCTTTAGGCCTCCAAAGAATTCTAAATTTCTAAATAGAAATTGTTATCTAAATTTATATCCATTCTTTAATTACAGTAATTTAAGTAGAGAGGATAAAATATTTCTACATAGCTGTATACAGAATAAGTTTCAAATTCCTTCCAAAGCCATACGTGTGAAAAGCACATTCATATCAAACCTTAGCTAAAGTTCATTCATAAAAAGATTTTTAAAGCTTTATCAAAAATCAATAAGAAATCCTTCATTTTCTTTTCTTTAGTGATGATGCACTGAACAAATACACAAAAGACCAAAACCAGAGCTTTCTTATTGTATTAAAAAAAGAAGATTCTAGCAAAATGCAGGACTTCTCCAGGAAGACTCACTGTCCAGCTTCTCACCTGGGCCATATGGGGCACTTCCATCAGGTGATTTCAACAGCTGTGGACTTGGACACACGTGTTATGAGAAATGTTCCCAGTCAGAAAGAGGGACTGTAGCCAAGTCAGTCGATAAAAACAAATGGGGTGTCACTGACATTTTAGAAAAATGCCCTCGAAAAAGCACTCAAAAGTTACTATCAATAATTAGAGTACCTACTGTGAGTAGGAAGATAGAGTACCTATCTTCCCTGCTGTGTAACAAGCACCCTCAGGTATCAACCTGAGGCCAAATCAATAATTCTTTTGCATTAGGAACCTGCTGCAAAACTTCCAGAACCACATTTTGGATATTCCAGCAGGTACCCCAGAAAAAGAAAGCACGGTGGTACCTGGCATGTTATGGTGCTCCAGGCAGTGGCCTTTCCCCCATGTCCATAGCCCCAGCACAGTGGTTGGACTTGGTAGATCAAACCATCCCACCTACCCTCATGGAGACACCATCCACTGGACAGAGCTGCCAGACTCCTAGAAGGACCTTCACATCACTTTCCAAGCAAATAAATAAATACTCAGAGACCTGAGTATTCAAACCCATTCCAGAGCTATTTTCTGGAGAAGAACCGAAAGATTTAAACCCTGAATTATACATATGAAGTCATTTAAAGAGCAAGCTTAGTGTAAATTCCCACAGTCCGTGCATCTGTAACTTCCATTAATGGGAATACAACACCACAGCTCTCCTGGAATACCATTACGATGCAGGTGTCATTTCCCACTCTTTTCTGACAGGAGAGGAACACTATTGCAGAAATCTTTGTTTCATCACGTCATCAAATAATGATCCCATCATTTTGTATTTCTGTTACTCATTTCCATACTGCAGTCAGTCAGTGATTCTTCCCTCCTCCTTTTCTTTCATGTTAATTTTTCTTTATTTTTTATTTTCATAGGAGAATTCTAACACAGATTTGAAGCACAGTAGTTTCAGTGAACTCTATAAGTTTATTCAATTTACACAATTGAAAAAGTTTTGCAGTTGAGTGATAACTACAGCTCTGCTGGATGCTGGGGATTGCCAACCAGTTCACTTCAAACTTAGCAATTAATCTGCATTCTTTTGTATTATTTGTTCTTCAACTAATATTGTTAATAAACATCATTGGAATTTTTGCAAGCAAAGTAATTAACATTGGTTCTTCTAGCAAGTACTACTTAATCAGAACTTTAAATGTGTTCAGAATTAATTCTCCATTCCAAAATATTTGCAGATTTTCCAAACATCACAGGCATTTTCAAAATGACAAATTTGGAAATTTGGATTGAAACTGTGTTCATTGAGAAATTACATTTGTACAAAGTAAGAGGTTTAAATAAAGCAAAAATGCTTCAGAATTACTGAACTGAAACACTTATTATTTGATTTGCTTCGGTAAATGATTTTTTTTAAAAATGCTTCAGAATTACTGAACTGAAACATTATTTGATTTGCTTCGGTAAATTATTTTTTAAATTATTTTATTTTAATTTAAGCTAGAAAGAGCTTCAAAATATAAAAAATTCTCTTACAAAGGAAAAGTGACTGCTGCTCAATTTCTTGTAATACTTATGAAGATTATTTTCCAAAATACTTATTTAAGAAAATAACATATATATAATACTTTGTCATACTTCATAAAAATCTAGAATCCTAAAACAACTAGGCTAAATTAGACATGAAAATAAACATACTGAATAAAAAATCAGTATTAAAAAAATTATAAATGCCATCAAAATCCCACAATTATCCTTGTGTGGCAAATGTAGTGAAGGAATATGTTGGAATATATTTCAGAACAAAATTTGGCCCTGGCTTCACAGTCTACAAATCATTGCCTGCATTTTTACCTCCTTCGCTATGTGAGAACACCCATAACCAGGCAAAATGAAGTACAAAATGTGTCTCCAGACAGAAGACTCATTCTTGAAATGCAGGTTATAAAAATATATCTATCTTCAGACCATCTACTTTTGTGTCTGTGCCACGTGATTAAAAAACACTTTCTCTTATAGCTCCCTGAATTCAGAATTACTTTATTCTTGAAATGCAGGTTATAAAAATATATCCATCTTCAGACCATCTACTTTTATCTCTGTGCCACGTGATTAAAAACACTTTCTCTTATAGCTCCCTGAGCCAGTATTAAAATTCGGCCTTTAGCTTTCATTCACTTTATTTTAAATTAAGACACTTTCCATGCTCTTCTCTTTATCTGACACATTCACAGGGAACAGCAAAATAAGGCACACAGATAAGATTAATTACATATATGATAACCAGATAGGCAGAATTCTCACTAGTACAATTAACATGAAGATCATTAGTGCTTGTATGATGACTACCTCTTGAGGCCAGGATCCCACTTCGTTAAGCAACGCACAGAGTTAACGACTGGTGTCTAAAAGTTTGAAGTTTGCCCAGTTGAAAACTGAGGATATTTACTGTAAATGGGGAAAATCAAACCAAATTGGAAGTTGTGTGCCTGATTACCACCAGTTTAACAAGCTTTCTCTATTCTCTAAAGAGATTACAGAATCTAGAAACTAATAGGAGAATTCCCTGCTTGTTAAAGCTGCTGCAATATTTCTGAGAGACACTGATAGGGCTGAAATTTCAACCAGTTCACACAAACTGTGGATTCAAGAAGTCGCTGAGGTAACGGTGAAATACTTGCTATTTAGCAGCTGGTAAGATTTCTGTGAATAAAACACACTTCCGTGGTAAGATTTCTGTGAATAAAACACACTTCTGCTTTTTTTTCTTCCTTTTTTTCTTTTCTTTTCTTTTTTTTTTTTTCCCAACAGGACGATGACATGAGGGACAGTCAGTTTAGTTTCACAGCCTACGGAGTGAGCCCGTGTCTGCAAGCGAAAGATGGAGTGACCCAAAAGGGGCCAAACAACCCTGCTCAAGCTGCACCAAAAAGCCCCGAAGAGATGAGAAAGGTATTCATTGACCGGGCCAAGAAGATAGACACGATATCCAGAGCTTGTTTCCCCTTAGCCTTTCTCATCTTCAATATTTTTTATTGGGTAATTTACAAAATCATCAGGCATGAGGACATTCACCAATAAGGAGGGTTGAGGCTCGCGGTACACGCGGTTCAACGGGAGGCTTTCCCTAAGGAACGAGCATCCCAGGAGTGACCAGGAGAGCTAAAGGCATTGAGGGGGGACAAAAAAAGACCCTGCCATGCCCAGTCGCAGCCAGGTGGGAGAATGGCACCCGGAGAAGATACATCTGCTCTTGCAAACGTTCAGTGTCAAACTAAATATTAACTTTTTCATTGTAAATCACTCTCTACTGAAGCTTTACTGCCAAGTATTTATACATACTGTTACATAGTGGTATACTTGTACAGTTCTCTTTGATGTTCCTTACATTTTTTTAATTCTGGTGTATTTTTAATTAAAAAAAAAAAAAAAAGTGGATCTAGAATACCCTAGGTAAATCCCATGGTATTACAGAATAGATTAGCATTTGTAACCTTTATTTCAATTTTACAAGATAATGACAAATTACTGATTTGAGATTACAGTTTTAAGGACCTTTTCTTGTCTTAAGGACAGAACCTGTGGTTTTGCAATGAGCACACGACACATTTAAGTTATTTATTCAGTGTACTTCATATTACCATTCCCCTGGAAGGTGTGTGGTGAAATAATCTCAGACAGCACAAGGTATCTACAAGCCTAATAGTCTGCATATCACATGGAAAATATATTAAAATTCGTAAAGAATTGATTCCTGCAAAGGATTTTTTTTTTCTTTTAATTATCTACATTTTGATAATTGAAACTTATAGTATTTTTCAATCCTTTTTATATTTTTGAAGGGTTTTTTTTTTTCCTCAATTGATAAAACTCCTACAGCTTTGGAGATAGCCAAACTACATCAAAAATTTTGCAATGCTTCATTTTGATGCAATGCAAAATGATCTTGGACCAAAATTAAGAGCAAATAGTCAACTGCTTTCCTGAAACATCTGGAGGATGAGTAGAGCTGTCTTTATGCAAATTTATCTCCTACTTGTTGGATAAATAGAGGAAATTTAATTTACAAATATGTCCTCATTGTCTGAAGGATATTGATATGACTTAGATACTGGTTAAGAAGCACTTCACAACTGTGGAAAAACATGTCACTCCTAAAACATGAAAAAGGATCTCAATATTTTTTTACATTTATTATACTTCACATTAAGTAATTGGAGAACAACTATCAAAACTCTTAGAGAGATTTTCCCTGTTTAGGATTAAATAGGTCATATTAGTTGTTTCTTTGAATTATAACAGAATAGATCACATTTATGGCAGGGCTTGTAGGCAAGAGTGTTTACTTTTGCCAATCTTGCTTACTGAAAAACAAAAACATGCTCAGATATGGAAATCTGACATTTAGAATTACTGGGTCCAGTAGCTGAGGCTGTTTCTCATTGCAAAAATATTTTTATTTTGAACATGTTTTAAATTTTTGGTTTGTTGTTGCTCAGAATGTGTGCACAAAAGCGAAATACAGCTGGAGGCAAACATCTGGTGCCCTGCCAAAGGCATGGCACATATGAACTAACAGAACCATGGAACTGCACCCAGGGTTATAACACAACAACCTTGGACTCGGTTGGGTTTGTTGTTGTTTTCCTCTAAGGATTTGTTAGATTCTAAAAAAGTAGTGCTCAGTAGTCTCTGCTGTGTCAGAAAGAAGTGTTATAATCCTCCTCTATCTTAAAACAGGTTTGGTTTTTTTAATATATATTTTTTGCTTCACTTATGATCTGGATTCAATTCACTTTAACCAATTATTGTTTGCTGAGGTTGTGTTCTTTTTTTGTTGATTTCTTTGTTGTGTGTGTGTTCCAAAAGATCCTGTTCATCTGTGCAAGGGGGTAACAGGAACTAACGGCTGACATTTCAGCTGGGTTATACCCATCTCTCTCAAAGTTACCCTTAGCTGCATTGTATGAAGAGGGATATAAACTCAGTTCTGTTGTCAGAGAAGTCAACAGTATTTTGTTTAAGGACTGTTTGAAGTCCTGGATCCGTAATCAAGATCCATCATCTTCCAGGCTCATCTCCCTTCTTTCTTTCTAAACTAGCTGAATTGCATTCAACAATGAATTGCATTCATTCAATCAAGAATTCTTCATTGAAGGGGTAAGTGCATCAAAAAGATCAGATCAGAATAGCTCCTAGTTATTCTAGTTTATAACACCTGAGCAGCTGGTTGACATTGCCTCTTTCCTGGACATCCAATAGTCTGCTGCTCTCACACATGCAGTACTATCTTGCCTTGAAAACATGAACAAATTTGAGTAAAGCAGAGCCTAAAAAATTTAGCCCTAATTTCTTTCTTCACTCTTTACAGCAGAAAAGGTCTATGCTCTCAAGGAGAGAAATCAGGCGGGAAATCTTGGAAGTGATAAAAGAGAGACCAGGTTACAACACTGGCAAAATGTAGCAGGGGGTCAGAAGGAATATAAATTGCTAAGCAAGAAGGACAAGTTCCTTCATTCATATGTGAAACTATTACCTCGGTGAGGGGGAATAACCCTTGTGCCACATTTCTCTTTGACTCAACCATGCTAACCTAAGGAAAAATTAAAGCATATATAAATAAAAAGCATAAATCTACATTATCATTCTTTTCTGGACTCCCTAATGTACTGTTATGTACATGTTCCATTTAAAATAAATGAGATCTGTAGATTTAATAGACCTAATTTAGTTGGATGTAATGCCTGGTGTTGCCTCTCAGGAGGCATCTCCCCACCCATGTGCTATGGTGGGAGAACAGAGGAGGGTCTCAGCCCTGGTCAGTGGATCCCTTCCTCTGTGTAGTTCTATTTCTCCTTCATAGGCCATTACATTTGGAGGTTGAGCACACCCTACTTCTAAATGGAATATTTACATATAATGCTCAGTCTTCTAACAGGGCATGTTGAAAAGAAAGAGAATTAATTATGTTTAAAGCATCATCCTAGATCAATTTCTGTTGGAAAAGACCTTTAAGATTATCGAGTCCAACCATTAACCCAACACTACCAAGACCACCACAAAATCATGTCCCTCAAAGGAGTTGTCAGGAGTGGGATTTGAACCCACGCCTCCAGGGGAGACTGCGACCTGAACGCAGCGCCTTAGACCGCTCGGCCATCCTGACATGCTCTCATTATGAAAACTCTATATTTTTTTATTATGTAGCAATCCATTCATAACAAAAGTGTTTCAAACAGAGGGGAAAAGCAAAAAATAGTTCCATGATGATTTGAAAAGCACACAACATCTGACCTGTTGTTCTGCTGCCCCCAGGTAAAGAAAGATTCCATTCATAACAAAAGTGTTTCAAACAGAGAGGAAAAGCAAAAAATGATTCCATGATGATGTTTTGAAAAGCACACAACATCTGGCCTGTTGTTCTGCTGCCCTCAGGTAAGGAAAGACTTTCTATTTTGGTATAATGGAACCCAAGTCTCTGCTAAAATGCAGGTTTGTGGGTTTTTTTACCAGAACCATAACATTTGCCAAGGTGACAGAAGCCTCTGCAGTCCACTAAATAGTATGGTTTTCAAAAGAAAGAAGAACTTCAAATTTAAATTTCATTTAGATTCTTCCTAAATGACTTAGTGTAAAGTCACAGGGTAAAGAGAGAGAAATGTCAGTTGAGATGACAAGAAACTTCACCAGTGATGAGGAGAAAAGCCCAGCAATGCCAGCAGCAGGGCCATCCTCCTCTGTACAGAGCTGGAATCATCAGCTGCTGTCATCTACTGAGATTAGGGTGGGAGATGGTCCTTTGGTCACTGTATAATGAAGCAGTAGGGAATAAAGTTAAGAAGATGCAAGAATGGAAAGGAAATAATCAAGGAAATAATGGTCAAAGCAGATGGTACCTAGGGCTTCTCCTACGTTTGAAAAAGAGCCCATTCCTTATGCTGAAGTAGATGTTACCTCATCTTGCTGTCACCTAACCTGGGCTCTGCAGGGCACAGACCATAGAAACACAGAATCACGGAATGGTTTGGGTTGGAAGGGACCTTTAAAGCCCATCCACTTCCAATCCCTCTGCCCAGGGCAGGGCCACCTCCCACCAGCCCAGGTTGCTCCAAGCCCCCTCCAACCTGGCCTTGAACCCCTCCAGGGATGGGGCAGCCACAGCTTCTCTGGGCAACCTGGGCCAGGCTCTCACCACCCTCATTGTAAAAAATGTCATCCTTATATCTAGTATAAATCTCCCTTCTTTCAGTTTAGAGCCATTTACCCCCACACAAGAAGGCTTCTTGTAAACACCACCCCCAGATGACAGGCCAATGCAGCTTTGCCCCAAGCCATTATTTGCCATAGGTGCAGACTCCGTGCTGCTCAGGTCGTGGTTTGGTGGTCTCTGTAGACCACCCCATACTTCAAAAACAAAATTCTGGCACTAGAAGACCATTGCAACACAATGAAAACAGAGGAAGGAACTGCAGGACCTGGAGGAATTCTCCTCTCAAAAGGCCAGAAGCTTCAGGATGATGAGAGAGAATAAGAACAGTCCCTTAGAGGTGCAGGAGAGACACTCGCCTACCACAGCACCAAATTCTGCTCAAATTCTGAATAGAAAAATGCATTTTATTTTAAAAACTATATTCAAATATCAACAAAACAGGCTTGCATTGCTTTTTTTCCATAATGCTGGCTAACTACTAGAGCAGGCTCAAAGGAGAAAGGCATATTAGGAGTTTACTATTTAGAATGCATTTATTTTAACACAAAAATAAAGCACATTCTACTTTCAAGAAGTTTTGGCAGCAACCACTATCATTTAAGCAGGTTAGTGGAATTCGGGGAGAACGTGGGATTTTATTATTGCTTCAGCTTGATCATATACTGGTTTTCTTTGGATTCTCTTCATTAGAGTTTGTTCCAAAAACCTTTTTATAGGCTGCTTGATAAAGAACCCTTCGTGATGTGTGAGAGATGATTCCATTTACCCACTAGAAAGGCTTATATTTTGGTGATTTATGTGTGCACTTTACATTTAAGGAGTAAGGTATTACTCCTGCTTTGTACTATAACCCCCTTAAAGATTGTAGGTTGATAATGTAGATAAAAATAGAAGATAATAAATTGTAAAAATCCTTATATTTTTAACATTAGGGAAAGACAAGAAGTCTTCCTTAACTTAAAAAAAAAAAAGTATTATTTTTAGTAATCATTTTATATTAGATAGAAATTAATTTATTTATACAGTTCCCAGCCCAAGCTGAGATGGTTGGTTGCAAAAGACAGATATATTTTCTGCTCTCATTTGAGCTATCATAGGAATTAATCTCATCCAACAGAGCAGGATTTGGCCTTAAACTGTGAAACTGCCGAAGGAGCTTTTAATTCTTACAGTACCCCTGTGAGGCAGGAAAATAACTTTATCATCATCTTACTGTACAATCACGTGGTTATTTAGATGAGAACAATATCAGCTTATCACAGCTTTTTTTTTTTTTTTTGCTTTTTTGAGAAACCTAAGAAGAAAAATATAAATAAGCAAACTAAGCTGGTTGTTAATAATAAAATGGGTATTTTCTTTGGAGCGGTTATGGAAAAGGTGCCTTCAGGCAAGACGCAACACCGACAGCTCTGGGTTGGGAAGGCTTGTGGGAGCAGGTTGGATTGCCAGCAGCAGTGGGGGAAATGCCAGAAAAACCTTGGCTCGTCCTCTATTCTTGACGTTCTTGACTATTTACTGCACTTCTTCACTTTCATCTTTGTGAAATATGCAAGAAACCTTTCTGATGTTCGGATTTTAATGTACGGCCGAGTGCTGGTAACAGATGAAATGGACTCTGCTGTTCCATGAATGTGTAATCATGAGCTGTACAAAAACAAATTGTGCCATAAGCTTTTGACCTAAAGGTTTAACATAATATACAGTATTTTGTGTGTTAGTCATCCTGGCTTTTTAAAGGCTTCAACAAGAAGAAAAATAAAAAAATATGATAGTGTATCAATAAATTGTCTGTGAGTTTTCAAAATATTCTCCTGTGAGTTCTGTCTGATGGCAATTTCATCTCAAAGTACTTCCTTTTTGGTAAAACTCTATAAACGTGTTGTGCATGGATTTGATTAAATTCCTTTTTATTGTATTACAGTATCATATCGCACTTAAACAGACATTCTCTGCAGACAGAAGTGGTAAAATATGTGAAATTTATGGTGTCACTCATGTCATTGTAGATATTTTGTTCAAAAATAATAAACTTTTTTCAGAAACCATGCAATAATTTTTATGATTTTTAAGGCAGTGGGTTTAAAGTCACAGGAGGGACTATCAATACCACTGGGAAAAAGGGTGGAACCCTCAGCAGCAGTAAAGGTGCATTTACCATTAAATATTTCAGGAGTGAAAATTTGAGGGAGAAGGAATAGAATGCCTTTACTTGTTAAATTAATCAGATTAACCTTCAAAATACTTTAACTGCATTAATGAAACATACAGAGGAGTTTTCAGGGAGCATGATGGAGGGTGGCAGGCACTGAATCAGGAGTTTGATCTTCCCAGGCCTCCTTCACAGTGAGCAGATGGAAAGAGGACTCTCTCAAGGACAGGCAGCTCTGAGAAAAAGCCTGTTGTGAAAACTCAGGGCAAGTTATCTTGATAAATGGCTATTGAAATCAGGACAGCCACTCAAATATAGTCCTGCTGATCTTATTATCAAAATGGCAAAGAATTCACTTGCGGTAAAATAGTCTTATGGAAACTTTCTAGACCTGTGGGCCCTCCTAAGCACTCCTTGATAGAAAAAAAATAATGGTTATGAGAGAACTGAAGTGAAGTTAGCAAATAAGAATTCCTCTGAGACCAGTCTGAGTTCTGCTAGTCTGGTTCCAGCAGGGTTAATATGCCTGTGAAGAGCGTACAGAATGTTCATCTTGGTAAAGCCACGTGTCAACGTGATGCCATTTAGGCTAGAAACCCTTTGCATCCCCAGTGCAGAAGCTTTGTGCTCCCAGACCCCCTATGACCAAAGGCAACATCAATTCTCTCCTTTCAACTTGTTTTTCAAGTCGATGGGACACTAATACAAGACACCTGGTCTGGTGGGAGGAGTTCCTGCCCATGGCAGGGGATTGGAACTGGATGATCCTTAGGGTCCCTTCCAACTCAAACCATTCTGTGATTCTATGGCTTTGTCATTCTTCCAAATGAAAGAATAATTCAGTTCAGCAACGTATTGCCAGGAGTTCTAGACCCAAACCATTCTGTGATTCTATGACTTTGCCATTCTTCCAAATGAAATATTTCCATATACGAATAATTCAGTTCAGCAACGTATGGCCTGGAGCTCTAAGAAACAGACATTTCTCAAAAGAACAGCCAAATATAAGCGAGTCCCTGAGCGTCCCTCCTACAGCCCATGGACCTGCCTGGTTAGTCCCTGCTCTTCCCCACAGCTCTTGCTCCACCAGGTCAGTCCCACCTTGTCTTCCCAAGCCCAAAGCAAAACTGGTGCCTCTGGTCTCCTTCAGGTCCTCTCACAAGCCACAATGTTCTGAAACTACGTCTGCTGCATACATTTTTGTTTCCAGAGCATGAAAATGGCAAAGGTGAGGTACCAGGGGCACAACAAGCCATTAAACAAGTCAGTAACAAACAGGTAATGTGACCTCAGAGTCAGAGAGAAAAAGAAGAGATCAATATGTGATTAAATTCCATAAAACGTGCAGCCCTTTCAACGCAGAATTCTGGAAAAACAGATGTCTCTTTTTCTGTTTGCAGCTACAAACAGAGCATCTTCTTTTTCCTGTTTGCATATACAGCTACCAAATTCTATCAACAATGAAATAAAGATTTACGGTCCACTCATTTGATTTTATTTCTAGTATCCTACCCTCTCTATACCGGCAGGATCTCAGAACGTTTTTTTCTGAATAAGCATTATATGCAAAACAGGTTTCCCTCCCCGTCCAGTTCTCGTGTCTTTGTAGCAACAGCATCATTTCTCAGGAAAATATAAATGACACCACGAGGTGGCGCCCTCTCCCGCCCATGGAGGGACCCCGCGGGTGTTCGCCTTTCGTTTCACTGAATTTCACTGAATTTTAGAGTTGGAAGGGACCATAAAGATCATCTAGTCCAACTCCCCTGCTGAAGCAGGATTGCCTAGAGCTAGAGGAGATAAACTTCAGCAAAAGCCATTCCTGTGCAGGAACTCCACGCTCTGACACTCATTATTAAGAAGGAAACGTATAAAGCACACG